CACAACTTTGGGATTAACGACTGAACTTTGTGAATGATATCTCCCTTCAATGTGTTATGCAGCCATCATAAAGACAGTCACAACGAACAGTCACAACGATCGTGCAGGGTGGTATTGCATGAGATGTGATGGATTTTTTACAAGCTCCCCTTGAGTGCTACAATTTCTCATATTCGTTCGTGACACTTTCTTCAATAAAACAGCAACAAGTGACAGAAATATTGTCAGTCTTTATTTTTTTACGATTTGTGTCTTTCAAATTGGGCATTCTCTGTGAGAATTGGTGACAAGTGTCAAAATGTTTAACAGGTATGGAATCGGAATGATTAAAGCCTCAGACATACAGACACGAGCAGAGACATAAGCAAGTAAGTAGTGAGTGAGTGAGTGAGTGAGTGAGTGAGTAAAGAAGATGCCTTTGAGTCTATAAAAATTGTTATGACATCTATTGATTATACCAAACGAGCTCCTGTGTAGTGCCGACTTAAGAGAACCAATGAATAGTTCTGGTATATGACGTGCGAACGTACCGTTAAGTCAAATGAACCTAGCAAAATAATTCTTCCAAAACCTCAAATATATTAAGCGTTATTGCTATTAAACTGTGGTATCCTCAATGGACGAGGAATATAAAAACACATTATCTGAACATGGCTTCCACAGGAGACAACCATGCATCCGAACTATTCGCTCGGCTCGTAAAATACGTAGCACACGGCAGCTCGTTCATCTAACCGTATATAACTATTTCAATATTAGTGATATATCCATACATTGATAACAACTTATTATTTATTTATTATGCTAATTTATATTTATATATTTTTACTGTGGCGTGTAAATAGGCTTATATAGATGCGATCCACAGCACAGGGCAGTTGAGTTTAACAGAATAACTGAATGTCGAAACTTAGTAATTTAGTCCCATACAACGGTTGACCTTTAGAATTCAGTGATCCATGGTGCTACCGCAGCGCCAAGGTCATCATATATGCTGATGGCCAAAAGAAACGTTGCACTGTAAATATTAAATATTTTCTGAGATTCAAACTGTAAATTGATTTCAACTCCTAAAATAGCAACCCGTGAAGATCCGGGTTAGAATGAACCTTTAGTAGTGAGTGAGTTTAGTTTTACGCCGCTTTTAGCAATATTCCAGCAATATCACGGCGAGGGAGACCAGAAAAGGGCTTCACACATTGTACCTATGTGGGGAATCGAACCCGTGCCTTCGGCATGACGAGCGAACACTTTAACCATTAGACTACCCCACCGCCCCGAACCTTTAGTAATCCATGCTTGTCGTAAGAGGCGACTAACGGGATCGGGTGGTCAGGCTCGCTGACTTGGTTGACACGTGTCATCTGTTCCCAATTGCGACAAATGATCATGCTGTTGATCACTGGATTGCCTGGTTCAGACTCGATTATTTACAGACCGCCGCCATATAGCTGGAATATTGCTGAGTGCGGCGTACAACTAAACTCACTCACTCACTAAAATAGCATTCCCCACACACTGCTCACAGAATCGACGAGAAGATGCGTGAAAACATGTCACCTTGAGGTCATATAGAGTTCAAATTTGATTTCATGATTTGTGCAAGTTCTGCTAAAACAGTCAGTCAAAATCATTCGATTGTATCCCATGATAAAATATCCCAACACAACTATGCCGAGACTGACTGCAGTTCAACGAGAAAGAGTCGAGAAACAGGTTCATCCCAGTCACGTCATCAGCAATTTAAAGGTATGCTCTGGGTCACGTCATCAGTCGACAAACTGTGTCAAGGCGTTTGAGGGCTGCAGGTATTGGATCACGTCGCCCTTATCGTGGACTCTACCTATCACGTCAACATTGTATCCTCGTGAAACCATTCTGTCCCGTAAAATGAAATGTACCCCCTACTTGTTTGTTTTCTTTATTTCCTCCTAAGCTACTAAGCGTTCAGCGGCCAAATGCTGTTGTAACACCATAAGATATTGTTAATGTCACATCATTTTGAGTCATTGCGATATCTATGATATTTTGTAAGTGGTTGACCTTCACACATCATGCAACGTTTCTTTTGGACACCAGTTTTATAACTCCAAGTATTTAAGCGAGCGAGTGACTTTGGTTTTACGCCGCTTATAACAATATTCCAGCAATACCCCCGCCCCCAACCCCCCACTTCCGACTAACGTTGAGCTACGATCGCTTTGTGGAACAACCCTGTAACAAACCCTATGACGTAAACACTTCGAAACATTTGATATTTAGCAAATCAAAAGGTGTAAATTCTAGACTTTGTGACCAGTGCATTTAAACGGGTTTTGGTTGATCTGAGACACCGAAAAGACACCTACATGTACACAATATCGTTTCGTTGCATTGATTACGGCATTACGGCGAGCGTTGGTATCACACATGACAGGCGAACGTATCTGGTCATCGTGGATCACAACCAATCAATGTGTACATCAATCTACTCTCTTCAACTCAAAACCAAGGGCAATTAACGCAAGTCGTCAACACTATGCCATTGAGAGTGATTTCAATAAATTATTGCCCTATTTTCTTCATGCTCATATTCACAGATTCTACGTTTTAATGACAACTTAACAAAGTACTTGTAAATGATATAGTCATGTATATTTCTCGTGTCCTGAATTTGATTATATGAATGCAGTCTTGATATTGTCAATGATCTTGATGTCAAATGTATCCAAATGAATGTCATTAGAATACTACAACTGAAAATAGAGACCATATTCGATCCATAACGGGTGTTAAAGTTAGGGACAGGTACCATCCATGCAATCTGTTATTTTGTATGTTTTTTCAATGTCCAAGAGTCTCAAAACATACCGTTTCCTGTCCAGTAGTTCAGTTCAAGATGTGTATTACCTATTCAGCGATGTATACTGAATCAATCACCATTTTCTCGGTAAGGGAGAAACCATTTGTATCATTTCGAGAGGCACCGCTCTGGACAGATTAGGAGTGACGCAACTCACCAACAATTCTTGTCCAATGTAATGTCCGCTCACCGGCCACCACTTTGTACACAGTGTCCGTGCTGTGTCAGCCCACTATGGAGAATCTTCATGCCACTGTTTTTCCTGGCATTGTTTACTCTCTACACGTAAAGGTGATCGGCAGCGTGAGGTGAATATGGTAGGATCGTGAGTGAACGATCGCGACAGTCATGGAGAAACTTGTACCTTTATTTTTCTGTCTGTCTGTTTGTCTGTCTGTCTGTCTGACTGTGTCTCTGTGTGTGTGAGGGTCTCTCTCTTTGTGTGTGTGAGAGAGAGAGTGTGTGCGTCTGTGTGTGTGAGAGAGAGAGAGAGAGAGAGAGAGAGAGAGAGGGGAGAGGGACAGACAGACAGATAATGCATTATTCTCCCATGGTGTATCTGTGTGTTGTCTGTCGGTGTGTTTGCGTGTGTCTGTGTGCATATCTGCATAGTCCACACACATGTGTAATTGTCTGTGTGTATGTGCGTGCGCGCGCGCGTGTGTTTGTTGTAATGCAGCATTCTCTGTGTGGCTTCTGTTTCTCCCATGGTGTATCTGTGTGTGTATGTGTTATCTCTCTCTTCTCTCTCTCTTTCTCTCTTTCTCTCTCTTCCTCTCTCTCTCTCTCTCTCTCTCTTTGCGTGTGTCTGTGTAAGGAGGGCAAATATGGGTAATCTATTGTGTTATCACACGTCAGTGGGAATTAAGGGGATACTTGTGGCATCATCCAATATCACACATTCGGGTTTGGTTAATTTGAAGATTTTGTCATTATCCATAGACCAAAAAGAATGGCTGCATCAGTTATGGAATGACAGTGGACATTTTAACGGCACCAAGCTTCGTAGCTATCGTCTTCTTCATTCTACTCTATGTACCGAAACCTATACCCATACTCCATGCGAGAGAACACACCTCAGCACCCTGAGTAAGTTATGTTGTGGCGCCCTGACACTTGAAGTTGAGTTGGGAAGACTCGCTCGACCTAAAATTACGTTGGAAGCTAAGATTTGTAAGTTATGTAGATGCAATACTGTTGAGGATGAACTTGACTTTATTGCTAGTTGTCCCTTTTATTGTGATTCACGTTACGAGTTCTGAAATTACGTAGAATCTGTAGAACCAGGATTTTTTTCAACTACCACCAGTCGAACAGTTAATATCTATTTTTAATAATGATATTTAATAGCCACTCGCTGCACTCCTTTCTAAAATGTACAGAAGTCGTCAGCTTCACATTTCTTTTTAAATTTAATTGTGTACTCTATGTATCTCAGCACGTTTTAGTGTGTGTTATATTTCGTGTATGTACATAATTTATGTGTGTATTGTATTGTATGTATTAATGTATGTATATAGGTACTACTTTTAATATTACGCTGTGTTAATATTAGTTTTAATGAATTCTGAGTCTCGTAGGCATGATGGACGGATGTCGCTTTAGCACACCAGTGCGTTTTATGTTTGTGAAATATGTTTGTAAATCGGCATGTGACACAATGATATAATGTAGGCTATTCTTCTTCTATCTAATCAAGAATTTGAGATATCAATAAATCGGACTTCCGAAACCAATACACGAATGAAACACTGATTCATTCGAATACTTGACATGCATGCTAGATACAATGCTTCTTGCTGTGCGTTTTCGTTCATTTAGATCAACCCTATGTTGTTTTCACGTTCGCTAACTTCCCAAATACAAGATAACCGCATTTGTTTTGGTATTTATTTATTTATTTACACTATATAAGTTCAATGTTCGAAACTGTGTTTGCTGAAAATTAAAAGAGGTCCCACCGAGATTTGAACTCGGATCGCTGGATTCAAAGTCCAGAGTGCTAACCATTACACCATGGGACCGGTACTCCTCGCAGTGCCGTAACGTAGGTTATATCCCTCATGATTACTGTAAAACTTCACACAGTGTCATGATTTCCTATTTTCAATGGATGTGAATGTCGCTGCATGGAGTTATACAGCTCCTTACACAGACCTTTACCTGCTGATCACAACACGATATCCTTGCATGACGGATTCTTGTTTGCCTAAACTTACAGACGAAAATGTCACGCCCTACGGCTGAAATAATGGACACCGACAGCGAGGACGAGTTGCCTCCGGGATGGGAGGAGCGAGTTACGCTGGAGGGGAAGGTCTATTATGCCAAGTGAGTGCGGCACTCTCCAAATTAATGATGATCACTGTTTTGTGTGTCTGTGTCTCTGTGTGGCTTAGTCTCTGAATATGTGTTTTGATAGTAACAAACAAGCCCATTTAAATTGTCAGAACGAGGGATTCAGGCTTTGGTTTGTGGTTCATGTATACTTATGGTGTGTCTGTGATTGTGTGTGTGGCTGTGTCAGGACGAGGGTTTGATTGGATGTATACTTATGGTGATTCCTAATTCACTTGTCAATAACTGTAGGCCTACAGACATAATACAGGCAGCATATAAGTCATCATCATCAAATCTTCATTACATATGAAGGCCACAGGCCCATACTTATTATTAATGATTCATATATGCTCTGTCATCCTATTGCATGGTGACAATCACTGGATTGTCTGGTCCAGACTCGATTTGTTTAAAAACAACATCGTACAGCTGTAATACTGCTGAAACAAATATTAAAGCTTAACGGGTCGTTGTCGGCACAGGTACTACAGATACGTACCCTAAGTACGTTTCTGTATACAGATATGTACCCTAAACAAAATCAAAATATAGAAACGTACCCGGTACCCTAAAAGTACCATATCCCGCAATCCAAAACTGAAACCGCATGTAGTTGTTCCCGTTAAACTGATTGATGTTTGGTATTCATATGCATCTTGAAATATCCGTTACTGTGTATTCTCATTACTTACATAAAGCAATCAAATGTATCTAATACAACAGCATGACAGTTCCGATCAAGAATACGACACAATGGGAATGGAATCGTCCTAGGGTACGTTTCTGTATTCTCATTATGGCCAGGGTATGTTTCTGTATACAGAGACGTACCTGGGGTACATATCTGTAGTACCCGTGCCGACAACGACCCCTTCAGCAATATTAAAGGCACAATATCACACCACACTTCTCTAAATATAAATGTGTAATGCATTTCTCTCAATAATACTAACTATCAGCCCTCAGGGAAGCTACCATATAATCTATTAAAAAAAATAAATATACGTATTTAGATTACAATTTTAAATTAAAAAGGGGAGTAGTGACCCTCTTTACCCAGTGCACTTGTTCAGATTAATTAGCGCTGCTGGGGCTCGTGCCTCTGCCTCACTGTGCCACGCCCTTCCCATTCGTTTTTTTTCACTCCATCGTTTCTTGGACTCTACTGACGAGTCCCAGATGGGGCGAAATGTGTTTCAAGTGGATGTAATCGGATAACACTGCCCTAACGTAAGGTCTAACCTTGAATAAGGATCGGAAAGGTTCCCTAACCCTAAGGATCGGAAAGGGTACCTAAACCTAACCCTAAGCCTAAGCCTTAACCCTAAGGATCAGACAGGGTGCCATACCCTAACCCTAAACCCTAACCCTTAGAATCGAAAAGGGTGCCATACCCCAAACCTATGGATCGTAAAGGGTTGTTCGACTCTAGATGCCTCAGCTCCCTAAGGATCAGAAAAGGTACCTAACCCTAAACCCTAAGGATGCTGTCCTGTCAGTGAAGGGAGACGGAGCAAATTACTGCAATATAGCAAGACAGCACTGGAGATGGCGCAGAAGCGCTATAATGCGATAATTGCCTCACAGCGAGCCCTGAGGTCTGCTCCCGGTAAAGTGCACTCTAGCCTTAAAAAGTCTTAATGCAACATTACATTAAATCGACTCTCATGCCCTCTACCAAGTGAACATTATTTCAAGCAAAACTCATAGAGTAGTTATGTCCTTTGGAGCTCTCTTTACGAATATCCTATGCACAACTTGAGATTGAAACCTGTTCTGCAGACACAGACAACACCACATCCAACAGTTTTCGATGGATGGCGCAATTGTTTACATTCCGTATATGGCAAGTGTTCTCTGTTTGGAAGCTGTTCGCCTCGAAGTTTCAATTATCGATCAAGTCTTAAGGGATAATAAGTCTTTTATTGCATCAATAGGAAGCTAAAGTGAGTGTATATGCCCCAATATATACAAAATAGGCCAAAATATCGTCGAAAATTGTGTGAAATTGTGCCTTGAAATACAACCTGACTACGTTTTATAATCTGTTTCACTATGACTATTCTGTTTGTTTATCCTATGTATATCAATTGATCTGTGTCTCGTAGTGCCTTAAAGAAAGCCCATTTTGTATATCACCAATCAGTGCAAATTACCCATCAATATTAATTTACTCCTAGCTTAGAATTGTCCATTGTTATAACCCATGATTACCACTCAGCGCCATTTAGAACCTGGCTTCCTTTTTTATGTGTTTGCTCATTGTTATATTATTACTTTTGTTGTTCTCATATGTATGTATCCTTGCATCCTAGCTTTCATTCTCCTGATGAAGCAGTAAGAATTTTAAGTATATTATCGTAGATAAGTCGATTTTATAGATAAGCCGAAGTCCTAACTTGACCCTTAAAATCAGTATCAAAATGGCGTGTTCCATACATAAGCCAAACCAGCACCCTTCGTTCATCTTCTCGTCATGATCAGTCATCGGAAATAGAGTATCAATAAATCTGTGTTGGATTACACAAGTTAACTCTGATTTACACCATGTTGTAATAAACATATACTTTGCATATCTGGATGTTTGCAATCTAGTTTATTTATTTTACTCAAATTTACCACAAAAAGTTGTCTTATTTATCATAATAAAAAAGTTGACAATCATAAATTTATAGGAGAGCAGTATTTTGCTTCAAAGATAGTTTTATTAACCGCCAACAGGTGAGGGACATAGGCTCAGACACAGAGTCCATCTTGCCACATGAACCTTGTCAACATTAATTCATGTAGATCCATGATATGTGTCTGTTCCTGAGTTAGCAAATGCATTGAGGTAACCATGGGCTCATTTCAGAGTTTGTTATACACCAATTTCATTTTTCTTTAGATTGAAAATATATCTTTGCGAAATTGTGAACATTCTGAAACGAGAAGGCCATGTATTATTTGTTTCTCTGTGTGTTAGGAACTGAGGCCAGGAGTGAGTGAGTGAGTGAGTTTAGTTTTAAGCCATACTCAGCAATATTCCAGCTATATGGCGGCGGTCTGTAAATAATTGAATCTTGAGTAGACAATCCAGTGATCAACAGCATGAGCCTTGATCTGCACAATTGGGAACTGATGACATGTGTCAACCAAGTCAGCCAGCGAGCCTGACCACCCGATCCCGTCTGAGGCCAGGAAACTGAGCATGCTGGTATGAAGCTATTTTCTTGTGAGGTTCTGTTGCCTACTTGTATCACCCTTTCTGTGGATCTGGGCAGCCTCTGACACGAAAGCCAAGGGTTGTTGACCTACTGAAGGCTTTAATTTAGTCCACAATAAATCTACTTTTTAATATATTCTACAAAAAAATTATAGCATAATTTTGATAATGTATATTTTACTGGAAGACATATATGAATATGATGTCATAACATTATACAGGCAAGATGTGTGTTCCTAGAGAGTGAGTGAGTATGGTTTTACACCGCTTTTAGCAATATTCCAGCACCATATCACGGTGGGGGACACCACAAATGGGCTACACACATTGTACCCATGGGGATAATCGAACCCGGGTCTTCGGTGTGACTGAGCGAACGCTTTAACCCCTGGGCTACCCCACCGCCCCGTGTATTCCTAAATTAACAATACTAATTTGATATAATGATAACAGCTGTCAGTGATAACCAAATTTGTTCGTGGAATATAAGCCTGGTAGCCATTTGAAAATGGCAACTGTTAGAATTTGCTAGATTTTCCTAACCACTACATATCGTTACTGTGCATGTTTGGAATATGTTCAACTACCATGTGTCTCCGGTTGGTCTAGGGTTCGGCTCTCTCTCTCTTCCCCACCCCCCTCCAACCATGATATTGCTTGAATCTTGTTATAAGTGGCGTAAAACCATACTCACTCACTCACTCACTCACTACAGTTTGGTTCTCTCAAATACTTTCTACACCTTTTCTTTATGTCATGTGTAAGAGCCTTGATTGAAGCAGTTTAGTTCTTAATGGTTTGAGCCGTCAGTGAAAGCAGCTTGAATAACAATGATGAACTGAATGTTATTTGATGGTATCAATTGCTTTATTTAGTTCATCCTGCCACTTATGAAAATACTTCCATACCCTGCCACAATTAAGCAACCACCATTTGATGTGCCCATCTGCTAGCAAATCTGTCATTTACTTCTGTAGATGTTATCTGTCATCACTCTACCTTTGTAGCCACCAGTATGCCAAAACACAGTGGGACCATCCGTGCACTGGCAAGAAGAAGAGAATAAAAGGAGGTAAGCTGAACTTCCACTTAAACATGGTGACACGGTTGCTTCTAGGATCTACATCAACAACAACTTACACTTCTACTAATATATCCACGTCAACTCCCACGACCACGCCCATGCCAACACCATCACCCACACCATCACCCACACCATAACCCGCTCCCACACCATCACCCGCACCCACACCATCACCCGTACCCACATCATCACCATCACCCACACCATCACCCACACTATCACCATCACCCACACTATCACCATCACCATCACCATCACCCACACCATCACCATCACCCACACTATCACCATCACCATCACCATCACCATCACCCACACCATCACCCACACCATAACCATCACAATCACCATCATCACCATCACCATCACCATCACCATCACTATCTATCACCATCACAATCACCATCATCACCATCACCCACACTATCACCATCACCATCATCAGCATCACCCACACTATCACTCACCATCATCACATCACCATCACTCATCACCATCACCATCACCCATCACTATCACCCATCACCCACACCATCACCCACACCATAACCCGCACCCACACCATCACCATCACCCACACCATCACACCATCACCATCACCATCACCACACTATCACCCATCACCATCACCATCACCCACACCATCACCCATCATCACCATCAAATCACATCACCATCACCCACACCATCACCATCACCATCACCATCACCATCACACTATCACCATCACCATCACTCATCACCATCACTATCACCATCACCATCACCATCACCATCATCACCATCACCATCACCATCACTATCACCATCACCATCACCATCACCATCACCACCATCACCATCACCATCACTATCACCATCACCATCACCATCACCCACACCATCACCATCACCATCACCATCACCATCACCATCACCCACACCATCACCATCACCATCACCATCACCATCACTCACCATCATCACCATCACCATCATCACTATCACCATCACCATCAGCCACACTATCACCATCACCATCACCCACACTATCACCTTCACCATCACCATCACCATCACCATCACCATCACCACACCATCACCATCACCATCACCATCACCCATCACCATCACCATCACCATCACCATCACCATCACCCACACCCCACACCATCACCACCCACACCTGCACCCACACCATCACCCACACCATCACCCGCACCCACACCATCACCCACACCATCACCCACACTATCACCATCACCATCAGCACACCATCACCATCACCATCACCATCACCATCACCATCACCATCACCCACACTATCACCATCACCATCACCCACACCATCACCTGCACCCACACCTGCACCCACACCATCACCGGAACCCACACCCACACACACTGATATTTTATTCTTTTACTGCCAAAGGTGTAACAATGATTCCTAAGTGATATGAAAACATGTGGTTCAGTACTTTACCATATTTATGGAATAATTGTACTTGCAGTAAATATATTTTAATTGCTTAACCTAGAAGAAAAGAGATGAAATCACAACCGAAACAAAACCATATATCATGGAAGTTCATTAAGCTCATGTTCAATTGTCAGTCAGAGGTATCAAATCTCATTAACCACCTCTTCTGACTGAAACGACTGATTTGACAGCTTTATCACCACAGACCCATAATGATCCTTGTTTCAATTGACGTTTTTGAAAGGCATTTAGAAGTTGGACGAACATGAATACATGACACTTTAATGGATAACAACTTCTTTTTATTCTTTACACGACGTTTCAGAGCTAATTCTTGCTCCTTCATCAGGTGAATACAGGAGTCAGTACAAAGAGTGAATATATATAGATAAAACATGTTTACACAATGCAAGGAGGGAGAATGTACAAAGACAACAATATAATTACGTAGCCAATAATATAATTACGAAGCTACTGTAACTTTTCTGTCATCACAGAGCTGCCGTATGGATGGGAGATCAAGTTTTCTGAAGATGGAAATGTCTATTATGTTGAGTAAGTACTCATGTAATAATAATAATAAAAATAATTTAAATCATTGAATTTTCTGTCCTTTTGACAGCAATGTGATTGGCAAGATTCAGGAGAAGCATGCTAAACATGCTGACCTTGCCTTTGAAATGTCTTGCTTGCATCCCAAGCATACTGTCATCAGGCTCCCCATTGTTCTCGGTGCCCTTGGCTTGGTACCTCCTGATCAGGAGAGTGCCTGGGTTCTCCACCGGGAGCACAGCCTTTCTGACACTCTGGGTAATGCAGAAGGTTGCAGTGTTAGGGAGTCTACATATTCTCCGGAAAGTTCTTGGTAGGTTCGACTAGGCAGCGTTTCCTGGGAGAAGTCCCATTCGCTATCTCTTTGCTGCGTGTAGAGGGGCAAGGGCCCTGAGCTGATGATGAGCCTTACCAGCCTCACTGTGCCAGGATCACCTGAACCCTCTCTGCTGCATATTATCTTTAATCTGTCAAAAAATAATAATATAAAATTTTTAAAGCTCCTAATATCGAGCGTAGAGATGCTCAGTGGCGCTGTGACAATATTGGGGAAGGAAATAGTTCATATAACTTTTACAGAAAGGCAACAGTGAACAGATGGGTCTTTAGTAGAGATTTTAAAGTTTCTTTCGATGAAGTGTTCCTGATTTCCTTTGGAAGAGAGTTCCACAGTTGAGGGCTGGCACAGGAGAAGGCTCGGTCAGACAGTTGGTTTGGAGATCTGTGCTGGGTGAGGAGAGAGTCAGAGTCCTACACAGAGACGAGATGTTTGAGATAGTCGGGAAAGTTATCATTGTAGAGGAAGTCATGAGTCAGAATGAGGATTTTGAAGGTAATTCTTGCAGAGATGGGGAGCCAGTGTAGAGACTGTAGTACTGGGGTGATATGGTCATCATGATGAGTGTGAGTGATACATCTGGCAGCAGAATTTTGGATTCTTTGTAGTTTCTGGAGTGATTTAGTAGAGAGGTTGGCATATAGTGATTTACAGCAGTAGTGTTTGGTTTAGAAGTGACAAGACAGTGCATCAGAAGTTTACAGTGCATCAGAAGTTTACAGGTGTCAGTATCGAGGTAGTGGCGGACTTTGCTGATATTATGGATGTTGTATTAGCAGGCTCTACTGATGGAGGTGATGTGTGTATCCATGGACATGTTGGAATCATGGATGACACCAAGATTCCTGGCACTCTCTCATAACCATATCGCTGCATGGAGTTATACAGCATAACTCATGCATGAGTGTGGGCTGAATTTCAAATTCTTGCGAGTATACCTTTTTGTTGAGAGAATATATGACTGCCAAGTTATCAGGTTTAGGGGCTGATCATATATTACAGGAAAGAAATTTCATATTTTTTCGTCAAATAAGTTTATAAATCTGAACGACATTTATGGACCAGTCATTTGTTATTGTAGAGGAAAAATATGTTACGGAAAATGTGGGGGCTGTCGGTAAAATATGCTACTTCCCAAAAATCAATATCAGACACCTCTCTCTTCGCCCTCTGTGATTATAATAAATTTATGCTTGTCAGAGGGGTATACAAAGTACAGGATCTAGATTACCAGTTGTCAGACTTCCATTTTTGTGGAAGCCACATTGGCTGAGTGGTTTATGTTGTTCTGGACATTAGGTGCCTCACCCTGAGAGTCTGGGTTCGAATCCCTCATGGGACTGAACTTCAAACACTACCCGAATCTGTACTTGACTGAGAAACTGTAATCCCAAGCATAACATGTTAAATAAATATCCAGTGCCTTAACGTATTTATGTCAACATGACATTAGCTAAAATTAAGTACATTACACAGTGGTATGTCATCTGAGCCGGTGTTAACAGGCCATTTGTTCCCTGGTCTAAACTTTCTCTGGGGAAAATCTGGCCTAGGCCAAATTTCCTCGGGGAAGTTTTGTCCTGGGATTTTCTTACCCCGGGGAAAGTTGTCCTAGGCCAAAGTTTCCCCCGGGAAAGTTTGGCCAAGGGGAAAGTTTGGCCTGTTACACCGGGTGGTGGGGTAGCCAAGTGGTTAAAGCATTCGCTCATCACACAGAAGACCCCAGTTCGATTCCCACATGGGTACAATGTGTGGAGCCCATTTCTGGTGTCCTTCGCTGTGATATTGCTGGAATTTTGCTAAAAGTGGCGTATAAACGTAAAATCACTCACTCATTTGATCCTTTTGCTATCTGTTCATGTACCAACGTGTAAATGTATATTTTGCTCCTGCAAGGACTTGATCAGAGGAGTGTATATGGCAAATTGTCTGTCTCCCATACATTTTGAGAGTTATAACAGCAGAATCTGTGACCAAAGAACCTATACCACTGATGATCCCTGCAAAGGGTCTGAAAGTTCACAGAAATAACAGCCATACTTCATTATAATATCTAACCAGAATGACAATTAGGAGATAAACATCATGTGTTGGCGAATTTCCAGGTGTTATTGAGTATTTGAAGCACGGGAATTCATTTGAAACCGATGGCAAAATTCGCCAACACATGATGTTTATTGACATTATAAACACAAAAGTAAACCAAAAGGTCAACACACGTTTTTTGTGTCTGCACTCATTGACATCGAGTACGGGTACAGCAGAGAAATGTCATCAGTCGGCCGTTTTGGCTGTCTCCCATGGTAGCATCTGGAACTGCTGATTTGTGACGTCATTCGGACTTTACGTCACAATATGATTTTAATGACGTCATCACAGCTGACGACGTAACAATACAATGGTGTGAGCGATGTTTGTATGTATTAATTAATACACATAGAATTTCCGGAAATCAAATACCATTTGATCACGTTTTTCAATCAATCAGATTAAAGAACACAGTGACTTTTGGTTTACAATCATAAATGGCCTGATGTGTGATACGGTATGCAGTATGTGTAAATTGTGTCTCTGCTATACATACAAAGCACAACCACTTAGCATGTTTCACAGAGCAGTCCAAACTGGGCTATTTCTACATTTATTTTACATCAATCAATCCCATCCTGTTTAAGTAGCCATGTGAATTAGCATATCAGGATGTAATGACTGATCAAACATTTTAAACATACTTTTTGAATAGAGATATTGCTCCAAGTGTAATTTTGCTCTTAAATGTGCTATGTTGTTGTCAAGAGTTGCTTCCCTTAGTCATACTAGTATCTGCTGATTTTAGCTTGAATCCCACTTCTGATCTTTGGTGTGTCAGCAGTGTGTTAGTTGTTTAACACCACACTCCGCAATACTGCATCAATATGATGGCGGGGTTTTTCTGAATGAAATCTGGGCCAAGAATATCATTTGCTTGATAACATTGTTAGCATCTACACTGAGACGTCGCACCTATCTATAAAGAACTTGTCTATCCATAAAAAGTGTTCCCCTTTATCATAAAGGGCAGTAGGGTAGCCTAGTGGTTAAAGCGTTGGCTGCAACGTCCCGGGTTCAATTCCCCACATGGGTTCAATGTGTGAAGCCCATTTCTGGTGTCCCCGCCACGATATTGCTGGAATATTGCTGAAAGCAGCATAAAACCATACTCACTCACTCTTCATCATACCAGCTTGTAAATGCCACTTGAAGAAGTTTAATCTAGACCAGAGAACAAGCAGAGGTTGCTAGGGACCTGTTCTTATCTGGAAAACCCACTTGGCCCCATACCTGTGTTCACAGGTGTCTCCAGTGTCATATATAATATGTCTGCAGCCTGAGCTTCTTAGATTTCATTGACTTTAATGAGTAGTGAGTGAGTATACTTTTGTGCCATTTTAAGTGAGTGAGTGAGTGAGTTGGGTTTTAAGCCACTTTTAGCAATATTCCAACAATATCACGACGGAAGACACCAGAAATGAGCTTCACACATTGTACCCATTTGGGATATCGAACTCAGGTCTTCATCGTGACGAGCGAATGCTTTAACCACTTGGCTACCCCACCACCCCTGTGCCATTTTAACTTCCCAGCAATAACACCAAAATGGTCTTCACACATTGTACTTATGTTGTGAATTGAAACTTGGTCATTGTTCAGACAAGTGAATGCTTTTACCACTAGGCTACCACACCACCCTCTCACATTCAGCTTAAGTGTCATAATATAGCTGAAAATATTCTGTTTGACCCAGCTCACTCACTAATGATGAATGTTCGTCAATCTTACTGTCTACTCATCAGTCACATCAACCAGAAAACGACGTACACGGACCCCAGACTGGCGTTTGCAGAGGAGATCAAAGACTCACCCATGGACTTCCGCCAGAAGTTCGACAGTAGCAGCACAGCGCTTCATGTCTTGCAAGGTCGTGACATCTCGGGCAGATATGCCGTTATCACTGGAGCCAATTCTGGAATTGGTGAGATAAATATTCAAAATCATAAATCTTAGTTGGAGAACTTATCACCTCTGCTGAATTCCAGCTGAATCAGGAACCTAATATGTATATGTATATTTTTGTCAATGTCATCTTTAAGATTATCATGAGATGCACATAAGCTTGGTACTGCAAATGTGTTTTTGTTATTAGAACAAAGATTTTTTTGACACAATGTAATGGTCTTGACGTCATGTGTGGTTTTCTGACATGGTGGTATTGATCAGTGCATTTTTCTTAAAGGAAGCTGAAAAGGATTACAAAGTTTTGGTTACAAAAGAAAATATTCCACTTCCATAAGTGTCACTCTTAGTTTACAAACTTCATGTATTGTCTAGGGGCGGTGGGGTAGCCTAATGGTTAAAGCGTCGGCTCGTCACGCTGACGACCCTGGTTCGAATCCCGACATGGGCACAATGTGTGAAGCCCATTTATGGTGTCCCCCGCCGTGATATTGCTGGAATATTGCTAAAAGCGGCGTAGAACCCAACTCACTCACTCATGTATTGTCTTCATACTCACTCAGGAAATGCAAGAACTCTGAGACTCAAGGGAAAGGATAACATTATGTGAATGAACAACGTCTTTATTGCAGTGAGAGCGACATTTCGGTGTAGGTAACATTACGTTCACTTGCTTGGTAACGGTGTTAGAACCTACACAAAATGTGGCTCTCACTGCGATAAAGAAGTTGTTCATACAGGGTATGAAACTCCCAAAAATTTCAGCCAGACCACCGGGCTGGTTAGATGTAAAACTTGCCAGCCCCGACCAAAACTGACCTGTCCACGAAATATCTTCATAATACATATCTAAATTTTAACCCGACCGTCAGGCAGGTGAATTTGAGAATCTGGCAGTCTGTGTTGAAAATAACCGTTCCCGGACGGTCGGGCAGGCCGGTATTGTGAACACATAGTTCATACATATATTGTTATTCCTCCTTACTGCTCCAACTTCTAAATGTCTCTCAAAGAAGTTACCTCTGTGACTCGTTTTGTAAAATCATCATTGACATACTAATCTGCGTGTATTTCAGGGATAATAAGTTCCTCCAAACCCTGATCCACACATATCCTTGTCTTCAGGTTTTGAGACTGCCCGCTCACTGGCTCTTCATGGTGCCACGGTGGTCCTGGCTTGCCGCAACTTGGAGGCAGCAAACAGACGTCGGTCGGAGATTCTGGCTGAGAGATCTGAGGCAAAGGTTGAGGTGATGCATATCGACTTGGCATCTCTTGCCAGTGTCCGTCAGTTTGCCCAGCAGTACATCCAACATGGCTGGTATGTACACAGTGATTGAGGTGTGGGAGGTAAAATAGATCATCAGTAAAAATCAGTTATGGTAAGGGACTGACTGTATATGGTGGTGGTGCTGGGATTATTTGTTTGAGACTAGAATTTATGGCTTCGAAATATATAAAAAATAAATTAAAAAAGGAGATGCCATACATTGTTTTTGTTTTTTTTGTTACAATGTTTATTTTGGGCAGAGCATCCAGCATCTATAGAATGGCAAGCATGTGATTTTACTGATATTCTGAGCAAAGGGCCTTTTTAGTGTATTTTTGTGGTCATCATTACTTTCAGAGTTGCTTCCCTTTGCATGGAAAACAACTTCATGCTTCACCATGACCACGCTGAGGCAAACTACCCTCTATATGTATTTATATAAAACATTATGGTACTATTGAAGCTATTGACATGATAAACCAAGTAATGTATAATCTGATACATATGGAAACTTCATTTTATGTAATAAACTACAGAGAAGAAACCAGTCATTAGACAGACAAGAAACATGCTTCTGTTCTTTCTGCGTTGTCTAGGCCTATACACATCCTCATCCTAAACGCTGCAGTGTTCGGCCTGCCCTATACACGGACCGAGGATGACCTTGAAATGACCTTCCAGGTGAACCATTTGTCCAACTTCTACCTGCTGCAGCTTCTTGAAGAAACGCTAATCCGGTCCAAGCCAGCTAGGGTGGTGGTTGTGTCCAGTGAGTCTCACAGGTGGGTGAGCAAAAAGTTGAATATATGCTGTAAAAGAGTGGATTAATATTATGGTCACATGAGAGCAGCAGTGCTGGCTAAAAGTATCGATAATTTATATCCATAGCCAGTCCTAAAGAACAGTGGTGCAATGTTCTTAAACTGTAACATCACTTCATTGTTAGCTTATTGCAGACCCATGAAGATCCGGGTAAGAATTGGTCTTCAGTAACCCATGCTTGTCGTAAGAGGCGACCAACGGGAGCAGGTGGTCAGACTCGCTGACTTGGTTGACACATGTCATCGTATCCAAATTGCAAAGATTGATGCTCATGCTGTTCATCACTGGATTGTGATCACTGGGGCGCGGTGGGCGATGCTCGAGCTGGCTAAGGCGCCAGGCTAGTGATCCAGCGAGGTTGAGGTGTCGGGATCGAGCCAACCTGTGACCGGGTGTAAAAACCTTGGAGTCAACTTTGTGTGCAGACCCTTTCAGTGTTGTCACAACCCCTAGTGTACAGTACACAACCCTGTGCACTTAAAAGAACCCACGAATTCGTTGGTATTTGACCAGATGGTGGCCACATGAAAACAGGCAAACACCTAGTTGCAGGTACATCAACGTGCAGTGAACTTGGATAAAGTACTGTGACTATGTGTCCCAGTCCACCCAGCTGTGAATGGGTGCCTCGTTAGGAGGTGAAAGCCACAATAACTCGGTGCGCCTAATGGCTGCAAGAGTTGTATACTCCCCAGGGAGTTGAGATTGATAACACGTTGTGCCGTTGAGATTGACATCCAATGATCGAAGGAAAAAAATACCAGCGCCTTGAGCAAGCACTAGTTGCCTAGATATGTGCGCTATAGAAATATTGTATAATAATTATTTACAGACCGCGGCCATATAGCTAGAATATAGTTGAGTGTGGCGTTAAACAACAAACAACAAACCAAGACCCTATTGCATGAAGTCACGGCAGTGTATATAGCTGCAAGTTAAAAATTTACAGAAATACATACAGGTGTTCGCTATGATCCACATCATCCAAAGTTTACACGCCTACATAATTTATATATTGTTTAGAGATAGATGTTTTATCTGTGTGTTTTAACTACTGTAAAGTGTTAAATAGTATTGATTGTTTTAGTAAACACTATTTAATTATGGCGGCTAGCTTTGATCACTGCGTGTCTATCGGTTGTGAAAACTTTGTGATGGATACCATCACGCAGGTGTTTGAAATGCACGAAAAAACAACTGCGCTTACAGGTCTTTTGTGAACTTTCCGGGGAAAATTGCACCCCGTGAAAATATATACGATTACAGTAGTTATACTGGGTCTCCTTTCACAAAGCACTAAGGTGATCGTAAGTTACTAAGGTAACCTTAGTGCAATGTTAAAGAAAGGGAGTTAAGATCTGTTTGATTGGCATTTAGAAGTTGGTGACTAATAAGAAAGTAAGAAAGTTTATGGGTAACAACTTCTTTATTATATATGATGCAATAAAGAAGTTGTTATCCATAAACTTTCTTACTTTCTTACTTTCTTATAAGGGAGTTAAGGTTAACTTTAGTAAAGGTTACTTAATGAAAGGAGCCCCAGAACTGTATCATATCAGTGGAACAGACCTCATTTTCATCAGATTGCCCCTAGATATTAATTGTTTTATTCTTATCATGCTTACAGGTCCCCAGACCTTGACATAAACAACCTGAGTGAGAGCAAACTGTCCCCTCCTTACACCCATTACCAAGACCTGAAGGCCTACAATCTGTCCAAGCTGTGCAATGTGTTGTTCTCCAATGAGCTGAATTCTCGGCTGGCTGTGCGAGGCGTAACGTGTAACTCGCTCCACCCTGGCAACTTGATGTCCACAAGCATAGCCAGACACTGGTGGTTCTACAGACTTCTCTTCACACTAGTCAGGCCTTTCACCAAGTCTATGGTGAGTCACATTCATGTTTCTATTTAGCTATTTGTTGTACAGAGTCTTCGTTCTCCTGGTAACTGGGGTTGGTGGGGTAGCCTAATGGTTAAAGGTCACATGCAAGCAAAAAATCAAACATAACTAAAACACAATTATCACTTATTCATGACATATAATATACATTGCTGATTATGAAAAAAATATAAACAAAATTATAACTGTACAATCGCAAATCAAAAGTGCAATTTTTTGTACTTGGGTTTACTTCAATCGAAACGAAGCACCCGGGATACCGAACCCAGTCAAAGCGGGTGGGTGTGCACTCAAGTGTAACGGCTGGTTCATTTGCCGATGCCCTCACGGCTCATTGTGTTTGTGTGTGTGTGTATATAGAGATGTTGGATTTTGAAATACATGCTCATTTTTTGTGTATAACATTTTGCAATCAACAGACATCATAACATGTCATGTGTACAAGTATCACACCTGCATGTCTGTGTAATTACATAATGTGACAGAGACTGAACTCAGGCCATAAATCAATGCGTTTTGTTTATGGTGTATAACCTGATAGGTGTTAAGTTCAAATTGCATGTGGTCAGTGATCGAAGTTGTGTATTGAATATTGTCATTAGCAGACAGGCAGGCAGACACATAGGTGTCAATAAAACAGACATTGAGTTTTGTCTGTGACAACGACATATCTATATCACAGTTAGAAATTCTGTCAACACTAAATAATGACATTGCTTTTAAGTATCGAACTCAGAAAGTGACTTGGTAAGAAGAACGTGTGGTGAAATAGACAAATGAAATTATATAAACAGTTAAATCGGTAATCTACTGTCATAACATATAAAAAGCTCGTGCCTGTGAAATATCAACAAAACATTAGAAAAATAGCTCACATCAAAGCCTTCACCGAGTATTCACTGCCAGCGAAGGTTTTCCGTCTTGAAATGTCGAACGCCTCACTGGTTGACACATAGCTGAGTAGATCTAGATCCTAACAAGTTCTTTCATGTAATGAGTAGATTATTTACTATTTGTTTTGATAAGACTAGTCCTGGTCACGACCTTATAATCCGGACATCCCGCTTCCAAGCTGCGCGAACCTATTTCACTGCGCATGTGGTATGAGTGCAGCCCAGCGCAGTTGTTGAAACTACTTTTCACCCCAAGCGCTGGGGTGAATTTAGTGAATCGTTTGAACTCCGATTTCTCGGGGGGGGGGGTTTCATCGCGTTATTTTTCAACTTTATAAGTTGAATTTGCATTTTTGATGATTTGTATCTTTAAGTCCATACCGAAAGGTATCAGAATCTGCAAAGTTGTGTTTTACGTTGCATGTGACCTTTAAAGCAGGCTCTCGTCATGCTGAAGACCCGGTTTCGATTCCCCACATGGATACAAGGGGAAATTGTAATCGCAAATATAACATATTATGTTAGGACTAACTGGATAGGTTGGTGTTGATGCACTTCATTGTATCCCGATTGCATAGATCGATGCTCATGATGTTAATCACTGGATTGTCTGGTTCAGACTTAATTATTCAAGGGCTGATGCCATGTAGCTGGAATATTGCTGAGTGCAGCAGTACATGACAAACAAATCTTTCTTCCGCCATTGAGATTGTCATAGTCTGTGTTGTGTGTTTAGCAACAGGGAGCCTCTACTACAGTATACTGTGCTGTGTCCCTTGACCTGGAGGGTTTGGGAGGGATGTACTTCAACAACTGCTGCAGGTGCATGCCCTCCTCTACCTCGTGTGATGACAAACTGGGCCGGGCATTGTGGGAGATAAGCGCGAAAATCCTCGCAGCCAGGACACTGGGTGTCGCAACACAGAGCCAAACTCAGGAAGACAGGTGGGTGTCGGCACACTTTTGTTTCTATCGTGGAGAAGTTGTTTTAAGTTCGATAACTTTTAAGGCACAATTTCACATATTCTCAACAATATTTTGGCTTATATTATATATATTAGGGCATATGCACTCACTTTAGCTTCCTATTGAGGCTATAAAAGACTTATTATCCATTACGACTTGCCTGAAATGGATAATTGAAACTTTGAAGTGAACAGCTTCCGAACAGAGAACACTTGCCACATATGAAATGTAAACAACTGCTCCATACATCGATAACTGTTGGACGCGGTGTTGTCGGTTTTTGCCAAACTGGTTTCAATCACAACATTCACCGCTGTTTGGTCCAGGACTGAGCTCTGTCTCCAAAGGAGTTATAGGATATTCTTAAGGAAGGCTCCAAGGGACATAACCCTATGGGATTCGCTTGAAATAATGTTCGGTTGGTAGAGGGCGTGAGTGTCAATTTAACGCAACGTTGCATTAATTCATTCAAACTTTTTAGTTTAATATTGTAATCTAAATGCATACATTTTTGGGGGGAATACATTATACAGTAACTTACCTGAGGGCTGATAGTTAGTATTATTGAGAGAAATGCATTATTTATTTTTAGAGAAGTGTGGTGTGAAATAGTGCCTTTAACCAATCTGTATCACTGTTGTGAAATGAACATTTAAAGTACACACTCAAAGGAAGCGGTCAAAGAAGGACTGAGACAGGTGGGTGTAAACACAGATGTACATTTATCTGATGACGTCAGGCTTGAGACAGGTGTCGACACAGCTGCTGTCTCATATGTAGGTTTTGACACATTTTTCTACAGGATCAATGTTATTCAATTATCAAAAAGATATATTTTTAACTTACCTTACCATAGGTCTTATGCATATTACCTTAAGCTCTGCTTAGAAGAGAGCAGACAGTAGTTGATTCGCCATTCTCTCGAATGGCTGCCTCAGGGTATCTACGAGTGTATAGGCACGGAAGTGACGTGATCTCCCCTCTCGCTCAAGGGCAGTCTATCCAAATGTCCAAATTATCTGCCTTCATCACAATATTTGAGTAAAATCAGAGTTAATGTGAAATATTGCCATTTGCCAATTATGTTAACCTATCTTTCAACTTTAGTCACCAAGTTATCTGCTGACAGGTTTATTTGTGAGATTCTTGATACTTCCATAGTGACAAAGGATTATTGTCTTCTTTAAGTCTGTTGAGTCTGTTGACTGTTCAGTGCATTGGATATATTTTTTCATCTTCATGTTGTTAAAACTAAAACATATCTACCTGTGAACTGTTTAATTTTCAACCTTTACACGCAGTAAGTGTTTTCTATTGAAACTGAAAGGTGACCATTTGTCAGAAATGTGACAGAGCCACAGAGCCAGTATTTATTCTTTATTTTGTATGTTTTTTTACATAAAGTTGTGGGGATTAAATAGTCTGCAAACCACAGTTTTGTAATAAATAGCATTAAATCCTGCGTGAATGTGTTGGCTTGTTGTGGAATGTTTTAATACTAAGTCATGTTAATGAAGAAGTCATCATGACAACTTGACCAATACTGACCTGAAAGTTGTAAGGAATGAGCAACTGAACACATTTTATGGTTTAAGTAGTTTAATGTAAAAGAAGTTGGTAGAAAATGGCAATTGATCTGAAATTTGAATTTTGTCTGAACTATCACAATAGTAGCAATATACTATCGACATCACAATAGTAGCAATATACTATCGACATCACAATAGTAGCAATATACTATCGACATCACAATAGTAGCAATATACTATCGACATCACAATAGTAGCAATATACTATCGACATCACAATAGTAGCAATATACTATCGACATCGCAATAGTAGCAATATACTATCGACATCGCAATAGTAGCAATATACTATCGACATCACAATAGTAGCAATATACTATCGACATCGAATAGTAATATACTATCGACATCGCAATAGTAGCAATATACTATCGACATCACAATAGTAGCAATATACTATCGACATCACAATAGTAGCAATATACTATCGACATCGCAATAGTAGCAATATACTATCGACATCACAATAGTAGCAATATACTATCGACATCGCAATAGTAGCAATATACTATCGACATCACAATAGTAGCAATATACTATCGACATCGCAATAGTAGCAATATACTATCGACATCGCAATAGTAGCAATATACTATCGACATCGCAATAGTAGCAATATACTATCGACATCACAATAGTAGCAATATACTATCGAGTAGCAATATACTATCGACATCACAATAGTAGCAATATACTATCGACATCACAATAGTAGCAATATACTATCAACATCACAATAGTAGCAATATACCATCACATCGCAATAGTAGCAATATACTATCGACATCACAATAGTAGCAATATACTATCGACATCGCAATAGTAGCAATATACTATCGACATCGACAATAGTAGCAATATATACTATCGACATCACAATAGTAGCAATATACTATCGACATCACAATAGTAGCAATATACTATCGACATCACAATAGTAGCAATATACCATCAACATCACAATAGTAGCAATATACTATCGACATCGCAATAGTAGCAATATACTATCGACACATCACAATAGTAGCAATATACCATCGACATCACAATAGTAGCAATATACCATCGACATCGCAATAGTAGCAATATACCATCGACATCACAATAGTAGCAATATACCATCGACATCACAATAGTAGCAATATACTATCGACATCACAATAGTAGCAATATACTATCGACATCACAATAGTAGCAATATACCATCGACATCGCAATAGTAGCAATATACTATCGACATCTAATAGTAGCAATATACTATCGACATCACAATAGTAGCAATATACCATCGACATCACAATAGTAGCAATATACCATCGACATCACAATAGTAGCAATATACTATCGACATCACAATAGTAGCAATATACCATCGACATATAATAGTAGCAATATCAATCGACATCAAATAGTAGCAATATACCATCGACATCGCAATAGTAGCAATATACTATCGACATCGCAATAGTAGCAATATACTATCGACATCACAATAGTAGCAATATACTATCGACATCGCAATAGTAGCAATATACTATCGACATCGCAATAGTAGCAATATACCATACATCTATCGTACATCATACTAATCGTAGCAATATACTATCGACATCACAATAGTAGCAATATACTATCGACATCGCAATAGTAGCATATACTATCGACATCACAATAGAGCATACTATCGACATCACAATAGTAGCAATATACTTCGACATCGCAATAGTAGCAATATACTATCGACATCACAATAGTAGCAATATACTATCGACATCACAATAGTAGCAATATACCATCGACATCACAATAGTAGCAATATACTATCGACATCACAATAGTAGCAATATACTCATCGACATCGCAGTAGTAGCAATATACTATCGACATCGCAATAGTAGCAATATACTATCGACATCAATAGTAGCAAATATACTATCGACATCACAAGTAGTAGCTATCAACATCACAATAGTAGCAATATACTATCGACATCACAATAGTAGCAATAGTATCGACATCACAATAGTAGCAATATACTATCGACATCACAATAGTAGCAATATACTATCGACATCACAATAGTAGCATCCACAATAATAGTAGCAATATACTATCGACATCACAATAGTAGCAATATACTATCGACATCGCAATAGTAGCAATATACTATCGACATCACAATAGTAGCAATATACTATCGACATCGCAATAGTAGCAATATACTATCGACATCACAATAGTAGCAATATACTATCGACATCGCAATAGTTCCTTAGAGCTAAATAGTCACCCCTAGCTGACACATGTCATCGGTTTCCCAATAGAGTAGAACAATGCTCATGCTGTTGATCACTGGATTGTCGGCTCCAGACTCTATTTACAGACCGCCGTCATATAGCTGGAATATTGCTGAGTGTGGCGTTAAACAACAAACAAACACAAAATCTTATCTTCATTCAGTAGAATGGATAGTAGTGTAGCACTAAAGCATGCCAAGGTCCAGGTCCATTGTTCCTCATGGAGTCAATGTATGAAGCCAGTTCTGAGGTAAATTGATGTTTTATTGTTGATGTTTGTGGCAACAAAACTCACTCACTGTAGTCATAGTAACAGAATCTGTTCCATAGGATAAAACCACATTAAACACTGGTAATGGACCAATACAGCTCAGTATCTGTAGAGTGAGTGAGTGAGTTTGTTCCTGTGCTGCAGTTTCAATTATTTCAGTCATGTTATTGCCTGTCAGTCTAATGTGTGGAAAACTCAAAGTGATGCTAGTCTTTACCACTTCGGTGAAACCCACAATCTAGTCCTAGGCCAAATGATAGAATGGTCTCAGGAACAATTAAAGTGTCAACCAGTAATTAGTGTGAAACCTCCCACCCTCCAGAAAATTCTTGTTGATGTGGTATGTATCAGGTTACTAAAAACAAACAAGGTTTACTCCACTATTGAAACAGTGTCCACATGTTCATAGACAAACTGCATGAGTATTAATGGTCTAATGGAGGGTGACAAGCACTGCTGTTCAACATGGTCAATATATGCAGTGTGGGTGATTATGGTTATTTTTTTCCATGTTAGACCAGACAGATTTTATTTTTTGTTTTACGGATTTTTGTCTTCAGAAAACCTAAAGGCAGGAGGGCAAAAAAATAAAAATATAAATCAAAATAAAAGTATTTTACTTTTGGCAATTTATGAAGTGTACATGGTGCAAAAAACAATCTAAAAACATTTTCTTGCACATTTACATTTTTGGCCGATAAAAATATTAACATTTTATTTTTTGAGCGGGGAAAATGAATTTTTATTTTTGTTCTTATTCTTGAAAAAATACGACTGGCAGATCCTTAAAACAAGAAATAAAATTGGTCTGGCCTTATTAAA